GAGAAGATGATTCGTGATTCGTTTATAAATAAGACAAATTCTTAGGAAACCTGTTAATTAAGCCAAATCCTTTCCACGTCAGATTTTAACCAGAGCCATGTCATCTAGGCAACATACAAACCGGTTAAAAAGGCTAGGCGGACAATTTTTTTTGGTTCGTGAATCGAATAATCACTTATAGAAGATTAGGGTGCGGGGTGACATTTCGTTGTTGGTTCAGGGTGCTATTTGGCACTTCACCCAAAATTTTTTTTAAAAAATATATATATATATATATATATATATATATATATATATATATATATATATATATATATATATATATATATATATATATATATATATATATATATATAGGGTTGAGTTCAAATGAGGACAACAATATATAGAGGACTGTGAGGACAAATAATGGGCACACAACAAATTAATAACAGGCACACAACTTAATACATAATGGCACACAAGAATATATGTAAACATCAGGTTTCGAACCCAGGTTCTATAAATTAATAAATTTAACACGCGACATACAAATTGTGGGCGCTAGGGGTGGAAATGGGCCGAGCCGAGCCGAGCTTTGAAAAATTAGGCCTGGGCCTGTTACGAAAATATAAGGCCTAGGCTCGGGCCTGAGCCTGTATGTAGGCTTTTTGTTAGGCTCAAGTCTGAGCCTGCAATTAGCCTGGCCTGGCCTGAAGCCTCTTTAAAAGCCTGTTTAATATTTAAGTCATTAAAAATGTTTCAAAGAAAGTGATACCTTGAGTCTATTAAAGCCTACATGTTAAAACTTTTTAAAAACTTTAGTATGTCTAAATAATATAAAAAATGTAAATAATACAAAACTAATACATAATTACATAAGTATATCACCACAATGCAAACATAATAGCAAATAAATATAAAATAAAACAAAACAAGTCACGACTTCAACATGCCCGTTAACTTGTTTAGAAATAAATTCAATTGTATTATTGTTTGTTATCCTATATAATATCGTAAATAATTAACAATCAACTCACATAATTAAGTTGTGACATTTCATTAAATATTATGATAGTACGAACAATTAATAAAAAAAAATTACACAATAAGAACACTTATAGCAGGATTAACAGCAATGTTTATAGTTGAGTCATAATTTATAATGAAATTTTGGAGGTGCAAGGTTAGGGTTTGGTAATTATATATACTTGGGGTTATATATATATATATATATATATATATATATATATATATATATATATATATATATATATATATGCCAAGCCTGTAGGCCTGAAGGCCGAGCCTGGTCTATATAGGCCCGGCCTGTTTAGTTTAATAGGCTTTGAAATTGGCTCAAGTCTAGCCTTTTTACTAAACGAGCTAGGACTAACTAGGCTTCAATCGTTATGCGTTGGACGCGTGTCCAGCATGCTTGCTGGACACGGGTAACAGTGCCGTTAGGCACTATTATCTTTCTTTTTTTTTTTTCTTTTTTTTTTAATAAATTTCAGACCGCTTCATTGTAAGAGTATATGTTCATAATTTTATTACTATATGTTAATAACTATACATTCATAACTCCATAACTGTACGTTCATAACTCTATAACTGTACATTCATAACTCCATAACTGTACATTCATAACTCCATAATTGTACATTCATAATTTTCGAAGCTCTATGTTCACAATTTTAGAGCTCTATGTTCATAATTTTATCACTATATGTTCATAATTGTAAGTTCATAATGTTAGAGCTCTTTGTTCATAATTTGATCAATAACTGTACATTCATAATTCCATACTGTAGATTCATAATCTCATAACTGTAGATTCATAACTCTATAACTGTACATTCATAACTCCATAACTGTACATTCATAATCTTCGAAGCTCTATATTCACAATTTTAAAGCTCCATGGTCATAATTTTATCACTATATATGTTCATAATTGTAAGTTCATAATGTTAGAGCTCTGTGTTCATAATTTCATAATTGCATAACTGTATATTCATAACGGCATAACTGTACATTCATAATCCAAAAAAAAAAAAAAAAATAACGCCGTTAACGGCAAAACGCGCGCGATTTTTTTTTTTTTTAACTAAATGACGCGTTTTTTTTTTTTTAAAAACGACGTCGTTTTGGGCCCGTGTCCATAATTCAATGTGGACACGGGTCCAGGGCATAATTTGCCACTAGGCTTTAATTAGGCCTGGACATAGGCCCTTACAAGGGGTCTGGCCTATTCCCACCCCTAATTGTGGCACACGACTACATTCGGCCATGCACACGACATACCGGCTAATGGCACACACTACATCTGTCCTCACAGTCCTCTATAATATACTTGTCCTCATTTGAATACACACACACACACACACACACACACACACACAGATATATATATATATATATATATATATATATATATATATATATATATATAACTTATTTATTTATTTTAATTATAATAATTATTCGGGAACGGGGCGGGGAGGGGTATCCACGTCCCCATCCCCATCCCCACGGTTCCCCGTCCCCGTCCTCGCTCCCCGAAATTTTTCCCCGTCCCCGTCCCCGTCCCCATCCCGTACGGGGGCGGGGACCCCCGACGGGGACGGGGCACATTGTCATCCCTGACCGCGGTCCACAAAGCTTTGTTGACCATGGTCCAAAACGAGAGACACTATAGTGTATCTAAACTGACATTGTCTCACTTATTAATTTTATTATGTTATCAAATGAAACTGCAATTGAATTTAAATAAAACTGTAGTTGTGTTGAAATGTAAATGCAGTGTATACAAAATGAAACTGAATAACAATTTCACATATTTGAATGTATATTGTCCAGCGAAACTATAATTATATCAAAATGATATTGTAATTGTGTAGAAATAAAAATGCAGTACATATTTAATATATGGACCACAATGCATTGTGGATTGCAATGCACATTATAATTGCTGGACATCACTAGCTAGTTGCTACCTTTACCAAGTTTTTTTTTTTTTTTTTAAATTGAAATGTTTTTTTTTTTTAAATTGAAATCAACTAGTTGCTATCTTTACCTAGTGTACATTTTTTATTGAAATCATTTTATCAAAATAATTTTGTTCCATATTATTTTAAAAATATTTTTATAAAGCTTTGATATATTTTAATTTTTGCTTATATCTAATAATTATCAATATATATATGAGATGTGTGGTTTATAATATGTTTTCTATTCGAATCATTTTATAAAAATAATTAGGTTTAAATAAAGTTTTGATATATTTTGAGGAGCGCCGTCGCCATGGGGTATTCACACATTAAGGTATAGTTGAAAATTTTCCATGGCTCTCAACATTCTTCTAGTCAATGGCTTCCATAAATATATAAGGTTGTAAGAAATATAATCCGAAATCTAAAAGATAAAGAATACAAGTATAAAAGATCTATCTGACTATCTCAATCTGTAATTGAGTCCAATTTTATTTGGACTTATGTATTTATTTTTTTTTGGAATAAAGTTATTGTATTTTATAACAAATTTGCATTTGAATTAAACTACTAATTAATGTGAACAACGAACACAAAATTGAAAACAAGTTTATTCATAATTATAAAATTAACAAAATATGCATTTGAATTAAACTACTAATTAATGTGAACAACGAACACAAAATTGAAAACAAGTTTATTCATAATTATAAAATTAACAAAATATGCATTTGAATTAAACTACTAATTAATGTGAACAACGAACACAAAATTGAAAACAAGTTTATTCATCATTCTTAAAGGGGCCTGGCCTTCAATTCTTGGATGAATCCTTATTCTTCTTCTTCTTCTTGTTTTTTTTGGCGTCGTCGGTCAATATTTCAATAATCCTGAACACACACACATGCACACAATCGTGTAGGGCCTTTAACACCTCGCTATGCTCTTGTTGGGCTCCTGAAGGGTCGCTATGCTCTTGTGGGGCTCCGTAATCACCACCCGACGGGTCATACGGATATGGTCCATATGGATATGAAAACGGGTCATACGAAAAAGGGTCGTACGGAGGAGGAGGAGGATAAGAAAAACGGTCGTAGTACGGAGGAGGAGGATAGTACGAAGGACGATATGAAGGATGAGGAGCGGTGTCACCATCGGGTATTCGCACATTGAGGTATAGTTGAAAATGTGCCATGCCTCTCGACTCTCGATATTCGATTCTTCTTCTCATTGCCTTCCTTAAATATATCATAATCCGATCAACAAATCTAAAGGATAACTATAAAAGATCTATACTTCAGCTACTTGACTCCAATTCTGTTTGGACTTCAAAAATTGAGTTAATACTCAATTTGGTCCTTCGACTATTAGCTAATACTTGATTTAGTCCCAAAGTATTAAAAGTACTCAATTTAGTCCTCTTACTTTTAAAATCGCACCCAATGTGGTCCTCCCTTACAATTATTGTATATTAACCATTATTTTGAAGGCAAAAGTGTCATTTTAGTTGAGGCCAAACCATTTCTTGCTGCTCCCCGCTACGGCGAGAAGCAAGAAACGGGTTTGGCCTCAACTAAAATGACACTTATGCCCTTAAAATAACGGTGAATAGACGGTTATTGTAACAGAGGACCACATTGGGTGCGATTTTAAAAGTAGGAGGACTAAATTAGGTACTTTTAATACTTTGGGACTAAATTAAGTATTAGCTAATAGTCGGAGGACTAAACTGGGTATTAACTCACAAAAATTATTCTACTTTATAACAAATAATAATAATAATTATATTATTATATTTGATATTTGATTTGATTAAAAATAGTCAAAATTATTTGAGTATAATGTTTATATTTCGTATCAATTACATCCATATAAATTCTTATAAACATAATTAAATTAGGGTTAAAAAAATAAAAGAGAGTTTTAATTGATTAATGAATAGTAAATATCTGTGTAATTGTTTGTAAATTAATCTATATTGTTGAATCCGCAACCCCAAGGGCCCCACATCACGAGAGAGAAGATGTATAAACACAATGAAATGAAATGAAATATTTACTCCATGGACATCACATCAGCTCTGTTTAAATTACATTGTTTTTTTTACCACTCTCAAACTAGCAGTAACTTAATATAACCTGTTCTTTTTTTTCCTTTGTTAGTGGTCCATGGACAATGAGCCAACAAAATATATTTTCATAATCTCAAGGGAGAGAAAAAGAATGGGAGAAAAAGGGTGGGGGTTGACTGCTCACAATTCTATGCTTTACCATTTGGTTTAGGTGAATTCTGGGAAAACTGACGATACGGTGAAGCATGAGAACCATTCGGTATCGAAAGGCTCCTCGGGTTTTGCTGTCCGTTCTTCGAGAACACAATGCCATTTTTAGTGTTCGGGCTGGACGCGATCCGGTCAGCTTGCATGGTCTGGAAATAGTAGGACGAGCTCGCCATGTCTTTCAGGTTTGGCAACGGCTTCAAGGCTTCAACGACTTCACTCATCATCGGTCTAGCTTTTGGATCCCGACTAAGGCACCGAGCAGCCAATTGTGCAGCTTTCTGGGCGCCTTTTATGGAGAAATGACCCTCAAGCCGGGGGTCTATCAACCGATAAAACCTTCTTTTTTCACACAGATGTGGCCGTGCCCATTCCACTAGGTTGTGTTCCCCATTAGGCCGGTTCTTGTCCATTGATCGTCTACCTGTAATCATTTCAAGAAGAACTACACCAAAACTGTAGACATCACTCTTTGATGTCAAATGTCCTGACGAGCAAAAACAAAACAAAAAGGGAAAATTCGATCAGGATAAGATATTGGCAACTTGATAAAGCTACAATTAGTAGATGCTAACATTATCCAATACTTCTTCACACCCGTAAAATGTACTTCTCCGTCTAAATTTACCAAAGATTTAATATTAATTGGCTAGGGGGCAAATGAACGGTGCATCAAAACTATGAACAGTTGCCAATGACCTTGTGGTCTAGTGGCACGAAGTGACTTTCCCAAACGGGAGGTCATGGATTTGATCCATATAGGGGGCGGGGGCAGTATTGACTCTTTGTGCTTCAATAGGTTGAGAAAGTAGTTATGAACAGATACTACATTGTAACAGAGTCAGTAGTACTAAAAAAAAAAATATGAACAGTTCTTTACACCAAGACCAGATTTTAGATTGATGTATAATTTTTGCAAAACAGAGTCAAACCACAATTGATATCCAACATCAAATTAAATAAAAATTGAGAATATATGAAAATAATGCAACTAGCACAAGGCAGAGATGTGCTAAATGCCTCGGTTCCCATTTCATTGTTGGATTAATAAGTAGAATCTAAAACAATGGCAGTCAGATAGAGTTCAGCTAGCTAGCGAGCATATCCTCAAATGAAATTGTCCCGGCCATTTGAGCTTTTCATTTACACCTTGTCCAATTGATTTAATGTTATGAAGTGAAGTGTATCACAAGTAAAATGATTTTCAAAGACTATAAATGGATTCGTATGAATTTATTTATGACCGTGCAGGTCGACATGAACTGTAAGGCTACTATAAACGGCATTAGATTCCTTTCCGCTTTGCATGCAGCATTGAAAAAAGTCTTAGTTAGCTCTACTATATTGGGGCATGTATACATAGAAGGTGTTTGGCCCGGGGCTTTGAGCATGGGAATCGGAAAGAACCCCATTTTTTGGTGTTTTTTAAAGCTTGGGAATGGAAACGAAAGACCGCTTTCAATGACAGTTGGTCATTCCTGTTTGCAACTCATCTTTCATTCCCATCGAGATTTCAAGGAGCTAAATCTAAAGGGAACTATTAATATTAATTAATGTTTTATGCTCAAGGTTGTAAGTACTGTAAAGTGATAATTATTAAAAAACCATTGTCATAAATCAGTATCAAAAGTGATATATAAATATATACACTTGTTTTGCTTTTCATCACAGATAGATGACTTACCTGTCATCACATACTCTGGTGCTGCATAACCGTAGGTTCCCATGACACGAGTAGAGACATGTGTCTTATCGCCCTCTGGACCGTCTTTGGCAAGTCCAAAATCAGAAAGTTTGGCATTGTAATCCTGGAAGGATTTGTTATAACAAGGCATCATTATAATGTCACAATCAACTTTCCAAATCGTATATATATATATATATATATATATATATATATATATATATATATATATATATATATATATATATATATATATAGTTCAAATGCGGACAGTGATTCCCGTGCGACCGGTGCGGATTCACCATCAGGTATGCATAAATGCACGACGCAGTGTTCAGAAATGCAACACACCTAATGGTGAGTGACCGCACAGAAAGCACTGTCCGCACGGGAACTTGACCCTATATATATAAGATTTACAAATTGTATATCACATACAGCATCTAATAGGATGTTGGATGTTTTGAAATCACGGTATATGACTGGTCTTTGTGCTTCCTCGTGAAGAAAAGCAAGCCCTTTAGCAGCACCGAGAGCAATTTTCATTCTAACAGACCAAGGAAGAGGCAGAGACCCTACACGTAAAACCACATATTATCAGCTTCGTAGAGAAGCACATGAACTTTATAGCTGTTGTCCAGTGTTAACTTGTAATTGGTTAGTCAAATGAGAAATGATTTTGAAAATATTTCCAAATTTTCTAAAATTTGAAAAGCAAAGCAATATTAGTTCAAAACCCTAGCTACTCACTCCTAAATAGGTGGTTTTCCAAGCTTCCTCGGGGCATGAATTCATAAACCAGAAGCCTCTGGTCATCTTCGATACAGTAACCAACCAGTTTCACCAAATTAGGATGAACGAGGTCACCGAGAAAATTCACTTCAGCCTGCCAAATGAACCAATAAAGCGTGAGAAATCCGAACACGAGGATAACGGATATGGACGATAAATCCATCAGACGAGAGAAAAATAAGACGGCAACGAACCAGCCACTCTTTGTGACCCTGAAGCCCATCGTGATTCAGAGTTTTCACAGCTACAGTAAGTCCCGTCCCCGGTTTGACTGGCGCTGTGCCATTCTCCTCGATCCACCCCTTGAATACGCAGCCGAAACCTCCTTCGCCAAGAAGTGATTCGGGTCTAAAATTCCTCGTTGCCAACTTCAGGTCATTAAACGTGAACTTCCGAAGCCGAGACGAGATTTTAAGCTCCTCTTCGAGTTTGGAGGTAGACGAATTGCTTTCCGCAATGCTGGTAGCAGTCGAAGAAATTACGGGAGCAGCGGGCTGGTCTACACTCGTATCATTTGCGCATTTACTTTCTGTTAAACACAATTATACAGCAGTTATACCAGGAAAGGACAAATCTAGTCTAATTTAGTCCCGAGAAGCACTTATAGATCCAGAAATTTTTCACAAATTGGAACAAAATAGTTGCAGGTGATCATTTTTTGTTGTTTTTCTGTTTAGTAAAATAGAACATTTCAGATACTGGAATCAAACAACAGCTCGAAATCTTTCCGAGGATAAAGGGAATTGAACTCGAGAGTTAAGACGTCAGTTTCAAGCTGATTGGCACCATACTAAAACGTGTTTGGGATAGATAGAGTTTGAGACGTTTCGTTCTATTTTTCTGAACAACAATCCATTTCCATGTCAGCAGATTCGGGTTTTCATCTCTACTTATCAAGAAATCATTTGTAAAGAAGACAAGAATGGGCATATAACACTTGAAAACCAGAATAGCAGTGAGTTTTATGCTAAACAAATTAGGAAACAACAAAGCAAAAGCTCCAAGATAAGACTGAAACAACAAACACTAAAGGACAAAAAGTCATTCTCTGTCATAAACAAAGAACAATTAATCATTAATCATCATAAATAAATAACAAGGCATGAAAGTATATACCACAGTGAGAAGTAGTGATGCCACTGATAGAGGTATCAACCTTAGATCTTGAACTTGAAGAAATACAACAAGTAATGAACCTCAACTTAATCCAACTCCCACCCAAATCCCCAGACCCTACCACCTCTTTGTTACTCCTCCTTTTTGAATCATCACCCCCTAATCCCATATTTCACAAACCCTAAACTCAAACTCAGATATCATCAAAATCCTCTAAAAACCCAAACCCCAATTCATCAACCCTTCAAGCCAAAACCCAAAACTTTTTTTCAACTAGAATTTACTTTTCCTCCAAAATCAGGTCAAAAGCTGAATAACCCACTTTCAGAAAACCCTTGTATCACTCTCTCCCAAACAGAAAACTCACTTCTCTGTGAGAAATAGCTCAGACCCAGGCCTGGAAACGAAGGAAAACTGGCATTCGAAGTGTGGGTGGATTCAGATCACGTGCCTTTGTGGAGTCTTGATTGACCTACCAACCTCTGAGAAGAAGAGGAGAAGAGAAAAAGGAAGAGAACACAACACATCATACAAACAGTGAGTGCCAAGGCAAAGCTGGTATCCCCCACTTCAAAAGTGCCCCCCAGAAAGAAAATGTCTGCTTCCCCCAAAGATAATTGAAATTGAAATCTCAACAAAAGACTCAAATATGCTGACCAGTTCCAAAGCTCCCCACCCCAAAACATAAAATAAAAAAAAAAAAACACAACATCAATAATTAATCTCTTACCTATTTAAATGTTATGGAATATTTGTTGTGTCTACTGAAGTCTCAAGACTATTTTATAAGGTAAAAAAGAAAAAGAAAAGGAATTTATAGTAATTTTTGGAGTTAAATTAGTCTTTTGATGACAATTCCAAATTTAGTTTCATACTATCGTTTTTGTCCTTTAACATTTCAAATTATTGTTTTTTTTTTTACACTTTTAGTCCTTCTCACGACTTTTCCTATTTTTAGTAAGAACATTTTGTCTTTTCATTTTTTTTTGGTTATTTTTTAAGTTTCAACCAATTTTTGGAATTGTCACAAAAAACAAGGGACCTCTGGTGGAATTAAGTCTAATTTTGTATTTTTGTTAATAATGGACTAAATTAGGATGTAGTATTATATGTACTTTCTAAATCTATTAGCTAATATCTTCTTACGGGGACACGAAACTATCACTACTAACTCTATTATAATGTAGTAATTTTTGTAATTAAAAAAAACACTAAAATATAAAGAAAATGTGTGAATTATTGGATTTTACCTTTCTTATGAATATTTTCAATTTGACCTCTAAACTTTATTGGAATAACAATTGGAGTGCCTCTGTTTTCTTTATTATGGTAATCAACACGTGTAAACCCGCCTTATCCTATCACCCTCAGTCAGTGGCATGACCGACCACCACACCTGCTACTTGGCCACCACATGTTGATAAATGAGGAAAATTTAGCATGTGTCTCTTGGAGTGTCCTATAAAAGTCGTCATGGGCTTCATGAAGGGAACGTTTTTCTTTCTTGAATCTTCCATGTTAAAATGACTCTCAATTCTCCTATATATTGTATGATGTATAGACTGACCGATCCAGATAAAATTCCAATAAAATCATTCGTTAATTATTTTTCAGTATTTAACTTGATTTTCATTTTTCATTTATGTATGCATTACCAATTATAAAGCAGCATACTTGATTCTAACAACTTGATCAATCGTCGGTCACTAATAGTTCTTAAATTTGTTGGATAACTACGACACTTATATAGTTATTTTCATTACAAAACAATTATATATTCTATAAATCTCACAAGACAATCCATTTGGTAGCCTTAGTAACTAGAACTAACTATCCTCTAATATAATTGCTGTTTTTTGCCTTCCAAATCTCCCAAAACACAGACGAAGACCGATATCAATTAGTGCATTTTCTACTCACAACTTAATCATAACCTTCAATCAAATTAGCACTAATTACCAACCTATCAATTCATATTTTCCAATTGAAATGTGCATTCGATTTCATGTCAAAAATAAAATAAAACAAAATATAACTAAAATAAATAAAGAAAAAACTGTATTTTTGGTCCTCCAATTAGTCCGTTATACTATGGTACAGATTTAGTTCTGAGTTATATGTGTGATCATCCTTAACCCCTAAATATGACGATTTTAGTCATTGAAAGACCAAATCAGTTACTTTATTAAGTGACAAATTGGTGGTAGAAATAGTCACCAAAAGACTAAAATCGATACTTCGTGAATAACTTGGGGGTAAAGATGATCAAACATATAATTTATGGACTAAGTTCGTGCTTTAAGTATAACTGAATGACCAAAAAATGTAAATGTTTCATAAATAATTAAAACAAGGGTAACACTTGTGTGAGAGACCCACGAAATGGATCGAATATTTAGTTAAAAGGTCAATTCTTTGATTAATGGTCGAATCTTTGACCTCATTAATCAAATATTCGACCTGTCTCACGAATTGAGACCTGTGAAATGGGGCTTTTGGCCATAAAACAATGTGTTACATTCAATACCACCAAATTTATAAAATTTTGAGCAATGAGGGATATTAAAATGATTAGAAATCAACAAATAAAAATAAATGTTTGATAGTTAGAATGAATGTGCTTAAATTATATAATTAAAAAACTAATATCTTAAAAAAGTTGAGTTAAAATAGATGATATATTTTTTTATCGATTATTTAATGTAAACACGTAAGTCGATGACAATGATATAAATATATAATATAGGTACGTCAAATTTTAATTCTATAAAAAAGTGCATATTATATACTACAAAGTAAATGTACATCAAATTTTCTTATTTTGTTCTTTTATTTTGGTTTGTGTGAATAAATTCCTTATTCTTAAAAGTATGTTCCTTTGACTAAATAGTAAATACTATATTGAATTACTTATTTTTAGAGAGAATGACATATTTCGCACATAAGTTATGCATGTATAATAAATTCAATTATTAATTATTGACTCTTTTACTTTTGATTTTTAAATTGATATTAAAATAGTGCTTTTAATCTTCAAGTATAAAAATATATATATATATATATATACATTAATTGAATTGTAATTCAATAATAAGGCCTCAATTACATTGTTTGGTTTTAGAGAATTACAATTCAATATTTGTGGGAAAGGAAAAATATAAAAAATGATAAAAGTATCATTGGTGATTGTTATTATTAATACTATACAAAGACATTTTAGTCTTTTTGATATTTAGTCAAACACCATCGCCTCCACTGACATTTTAGTCTTTATTCCACTTTTTTCCTTCCCGTTTCAAATAATTATATTCCTCATTACCACCAGGACTATGTGGTCTAATGGTACCCGGGTTGGACTTCCATTTGGAAGATTATGAGTTCGGGCCTCAGTGGAGGCGTTAAGAAAGTATATGAACAGACACTATAATGTAATAGAACCAGTAACTTTCAAAAAAAAAAAAAAAAATATTCCTCATTACCAAATAATGTAATTTGAATTCCTACCTTATTCTTTTCCTACCAAATTGAAATCTCACTGAGTTCACATTATTAGTCCATTAATCTTATCGTTATACTCTAATTTAAGTACACAATATTGTCAATGACTTGTGGTCTAGTAGCACGAAATGACTCTCCCAAATGGGAGATTATGAATCTGAATTCTAGTCGGGGTGGTATGAATTCTTTGTATTTCAGTAGATTGAGGAAGTAGTTGTGATTATATAATACATTGTAACATCAACGAATATGACTAAGAATACAAACCGCCAACTATGAGCAACTTAAACTGATTTACCTCATTAGAATTGTTTATCGACTAAGATCATAATACAAAATTTATCTAGTACACATTCATCAATCAAATAATAGCTGCAGATTTTCTTCGCCACCCAAAAATAAAATGGCAAAGAAATGTCAATTTTCCTTTTTTTTTTTTTTTTTTTTTTTTTTTTTTGGAATAAGGTTCAAATTAGCCACTGAACGTAATCTGAAAATGCAATTAGGCCACTGGACGAAAAAAAAAAGTGCAATTATGTCACTGAACACTCTAAAAACGTGCAATTAGGCCACTGAACACTCCAAATGTATGCAATTTTACCGGATAGCAGGTTACCATCAATTTTAGCAGGTTACATGCTTACATGACAGTTGAGTTGGCATTTTTAATAATTTTTAAATAATTTTTAATAAATTTTAATAATAAATTTTAAAAAATTGAAAAAAAATAAATAAAATAAAAAACAAAATAAAATAACGGGGTGGCCGGCGTTTTTTATTTAAATTAATTTTTTTAAAAAAAATTATTAAAATTTATTAAGATTTATTTAAAATTATTTAAAAATATCAACTCAACTGCCATGTAAGCAGGTAACCTGTTAAAATTGATGGTAATCTGCTATCAGGTAAAATTGCATACATTTGGAGTGTTCAGTGGTCTAATGACACTTTTTTTTTTCGTTCAGTAATCCAATTGCATTTTCAGGTTACGTTTAGAGACCAATTTGAACCTTATTTCTTTTTTTTTTTTTCTTTTTAATACCACGACCCAAACATTCCTACGTAGTACCAAAGGATTAACAATTTTTTTATCACATTAAAAATAATTTATTAAATGAAAAAATATATACTCCGTATTAATCTTCTTGAAGAAGTAAACCGTTTGGTTCTTCAATTATTGGAATTGCGGTTAAGTAGACGCGTGTCATGGGCTGACAATGGGATAATCTTCAAAATTTAAGCCATTAACTATGGAATTTAATACCTACAAAATATATTTAAGGATATTTGATTATTAGCAAGCAAATACTCCGTACAATTGTACAAAACATGAAATACGAAGTATGTTAGCTTATACTCCGTAATTGATAACAAATTGTATTAATTATTCTAATCCGTGGAGGCGCTGTTGACTCTGCGTGTTTCATTAGGTTGAGAATGTATGTTTGGACAGATATTATAATGTAATAGAGTCAGTAACATTAAAAAAAAAAAAAAATCTAATCAGTAAATAAATAAATTATAAGGATATAAATTTATTTTTTCTTTCCAAAAAAAATTATTGTTTTATTTCCTTGATTAATTTTAAAGTATTTTAAATTTTGTGAACCCAATGAACAGATACTAACATGCTTTTTTTTTTTTTTTTTGGGTCCTCTTTCCTTCTCTCCTACATGTATATGAAAAACCAATAAAAAAATCATACTAATAAGGATGCTCTAAACAAACTACTGATCAAGAAGAATAACAAGGCAGTTTCTCAAGTTCTAGTGCATTGGGGCTATCCTTTTAGAAGAAGCAGCTAAATGGGAGGATTATTATCACATCATCAAACAATTTCCTTGGTTTGATCATTGGTGACAAGGAATGAAGGGGAGGGAAATGTAATAAACTTGGGGTCAAATTCAAAAAAAACAAAAGTTCATAGGGCTAAAATCAAAGCACTAGGAAAAGGGAAGTATTGAAAATTGAAATGACTCCGTTAGAGTAAATGATCGTTGGAACCCATGTGAGAATGTAAGAGTGATTAGGAAAGATCAGGCGCGCCCTGACGCGCCCGATGGGTGCAATGGTGACAGCCACGCATGGCTGTCACAGATGGGCAAAATTACATATGGGTCTCACATTTTTGAATTCTCTCCACATTTGCAAAAGCACCCCATTTCTTGCTTCTCTCTCTTTCACATGGTTTCATTTTCTAACATTATTCCCACATTATACACTGATGGTGATGCTCTTATTGTGACTGAGCGCACCTTCTTCAGAGAAAAAATTATTCTCATTTAATTTTGTTATCAATGAGTTATATATTGTTAATTGTAACCCAAACGGATAGCTAAGTGGCAAAAAAGTCTAGTCGTGAGGAAGATCTTTCCAAGATTCAATTTTTACAAGTGATAATTTTCTTTCGACCAACTCTCATACCTCTCAGTCGGAGTGAACAAGCAAAGTGAGTTGAAAATTAAAAAGTAAATAAAAAGTTATAGGTAACCGACATCTATTTAAGTCTCAAGAAAAAAATAAAAAGAGCATGTGTATACTGTAAGTATGCTTTGTCATTTGTCAAACCTTGCATAGCTAATTCAGTTGACTAAAGGGAATTCCAAGACTTTGTAACTCTACAAGCTCTTCTGTAATAAATTCTGCCCCATCCAATATACAAGCAAGTCCACTAGATCAGTTGAAAAAAAATGATTGATTTATGTAAAAAAAAATTTATTTTTCCATAAAAAATAGTAACAAGAATTTCAAAGCTTGATCCAGGTTTGGGACAGTTCATTTACAGTCCTTGTCAACTACCTGAACCATATTAGAATAATCATTGAGGAAAGAAAAGGTCAACAAATGTTTATTTATATTTTAGTACCTATCAAAATTCTGGAGCCAAAACAATAGCTTTGCTTCAGAGAGAGCCTGATCTGGATTCACAGATCATTACTGAGGTTAATGTAATCTCCGACGTGGTACAAATTCTGCCCACTCTAGAACGCTAGCATACGAAAACATCATTGGTAAATGCAGAGAGTTCGTAAGAGATTATATTTCTGAATCTTTCGCCGTCTATGTGAGACTGATGTAAAAAATTTGAAAAATCATCGCATCCCAGTGGAAATGCTTGAAGTTGCATAGATCTTCAGAGAATGCTGGGGTATATAAGTGAGACCTGAAATAGCAGAACTGCTCTATTAACAACATAAAGTTTCAGTTTAAGTTCCACTTTATGCCCTTGAGCTCAGATCACAGACATGGCAAGTAACGGGCATTTCCACGAAACTTGATAACCACATGGAAGCATTATAAGTTAATGCATACCTTTCTCTGTTATCTCGATTTGCAAGGAATCAAGTGTGATTATGCCATCCTTAAGGGGAAGTACCTCAAGTTTGACAGTCGCTGTCGATTGAGAAGGAACACATCTGATGTGTACAAAATTTAGTATGGAAAAAAAGATTAAAAAAAAGAAGAAGAAAAAGAAAAAGAAAAAGAAAAAAAAAAGAGAGTAGACAATGCTTACCCTAATGGAACTCTGCTCTGTAACCATAAATGTGTACAGCTCAAATCACTACTTGGATGGACATCAGGTATGGCAATGACTCGCTCATTAAAGGAAACTGATCTCTTATGAACTAATACCTCTTCTTTACTCGCGGATACTGAGCTGGGACCATGAAAGGAAACAGATCTCTTATGACCATCTGATACCTGTACTTTACTCATGGATGCTGAGCTGGGACTCTGCCGAGCAGTGACTTGCCTGTTGTTCACTCTTTCTGATAATTTAGAAGAGCCAAAAAATGGGCTTACTGGTGATTTTGGTGAACTCAGTGACATCAAAGAAGGCAGATTAGTAAAGGAAGCTGGAGCCAGCACCGTCATGGTTAGATCTTCAGATGTCAAATTTGATGCTTGCAGAGTTAGGACCTGATATATTGAACCATATTAAAACAGCTTTGGTTTTTTAATTAGCAGAACATCAATTCTCAGATTATGCAAAACCTGTGCTGGAATCTGAGCCACTTTGTTATTTGATCCTAAAGTTTGTTTTGACATTGCAGATGCAACAGAGATCATCAAATCCCTGGAGACTTGTGGTCGCCAGCTTGTAGGCTGCTTGAAGAATAACTTAGACTCTACAAAGAACAAACAGATAAAGAAACAAGCAGATGAGACAAAGAGCACGTTCGCAGAGATCTAGTGGGATAGAATGAAACAAAAGACAGTTCATACCAGTATAATTGCATCTACATGATACAAGAATTGCATATTGATCAGTGGGCGAACCACTATTTCTCCCCATGACCTTCAAAGAATTCTGCCTTGTAGATGCTATATTTCCAGAATTAATATGTGATAACGGTGGACTTTTTTCACTGCTACCCTTGGAGTTTTTCCACATCGAAGTTGCTGGTTTAAGAATAAAGGAGTGTTCTTCACCTTTCCTGTCAAGGGTGTATACAGTTACCCAGATGAGGTTTGCAATCAAGCAGCAAGCAGTAATTCCAACAGAGTTTTATCTTTGTTGGATGAAAGTGCAACCCACATCCTTGCATTTGAATGCATAAAAACTTATGTTCTTTGTCCATTATGATGATTGGAGAATTAATTTCAAAGGGCTGCTAATTTGATCTTTTTATTTATATTTCTTTTGTTGGGGGGGTGTGGGGGAAAGGGAGGGGGATATTATTCTTGGCCAATATTCAAACATCCTCCATATCAATTATGGGCAAAACTTATCTTTCAATTGCTTCTTTATTTTAACTTCCTTAACTGCACTTTTGAAAATCTTTTTTAATCTGACTACTTGAGAGCACTTGCTATAATATAGTGTCATTGTACTTCATATCTTTGCAGTAAACATGGTAGTAATAAACTAATAATTACTAAGCACTAATCCAGTCATGAGACTTTGAGCTAGAAAACATTTTTAAGAAAATGTAATGACAGGTAAAAAAAAATCCTTTTAGAATTGATCTGAAAATTCTAACACAGAATTCAAACACTGAGAAGGTAAGTGAGGTATTTACAAGACTTGGATGAAGTACAGAAAGCCAACCCTGAGCTGAAGGTGTCTAGGAAACATGATCACCGACTATGTGGTAAATCTAATGTAGTACCGAAAGCCAACCAGAGTTGAAGGTGTCTAAGAAACATGATCCCTGACAATGTTGTAAATCTAATGTCAGTCCCTATTGTTTTGGTTAGGAGGAGGGATGTCCTTGAGTTCCTGACTTCCTGCTAGCTCATTTATTCAAAAAATAATTTTTAAACAAACAAAAAAATTCAAATATTAATGATTAATACAGAAAACTTTTTTTTTTTTTGGGTTGAAAAGTTGAAGAAATTATTTCTAAAGTGACTTGGAAAAGCAGATCAGACAAGTGTTAGTTATCTATTTTCCAGATGTGGTGAACTGGTTTTAAAATGTAAAGGGTTTCTAATTTTCTATAGTAACAGGAGAAAATTACACTTTCTGGAAAAACAGAAAATGGAAACTAAACATTGTTTTACAAATTAGAAAATGGAAAATAGAAAACATTGTTTTCCAACTTAATAAAGGAATTTTAAAAACATATTTTCATAGCAAATACAAAAGCATACTTCACGTATAATCATCATTATTATTACCTATGAACTTCCTCGATACCTATCTACTCCTACCTTGAACTACCTACCCACTCACCATTACTTACCTATCCCCACCACCACTACCTCTATTACCATCATTGCTCCCTTCTACCAACGACTACTTGCTTACTTACCTCTACTGTCTACTACCACCTACCTGGTTACCAATGTTACTATGTATCCCACCACAACAACCTTCCTACATACCACCACAACTACATCCATCACCGTTATCACATTCTTTATCCATTACTACTTATCTACCCTACCCCCATCATAAATCCCCACCATAACCTACTTACCCTACCACCACCACAACTCTATATTATTGTCACTTACTACTAGCATATATTTTTATATGAAGAAAACAATTAAATTTCAAATAACTCAACATGAAAATATTTTCTAGTTTTCTACAAAAAATGAAAAGTTGGGAAATTTTTGAAATTTTGGAGATGGAAAATGGAAAACATAAAGCTGTAACTAAACACAAAAATTCCTCAACTAAATAATACTTTAGGCATGTCATTGAGCATTTGAGCAATGTTTTAGAGCTTAGGAAAATATGCATAGATACTAATCTAGTTGCTTCCAACATAGCTACTACTTCCATTGTATTCCTATAAGTGATAAATTAATCATACGCACTTGTATGCAATCTTGTTAAGGCGGACTTTGAAGGCGAGGCGCCACCTCAATATACATCACTCATGCCTTGCTTCAAATACAGTTATCTTTATAATATTTCAACACAATGATCTTAGCATTCTCATGTCACTTAAAAGTTAAACCCACATAATGGGTGGCACAATTAGGGTTTTGGTGCAAGCATTTTCAGGTGGTTGTGCAGTGGAATAATTTATCTAGGTCAATTGCAGTGTGTGGCACCCCTGACCACCACATCCAAAGAGAATGTGACTCCAGCCTAGACAACTGGTTGCTATTTGGGTTGCTGTTTGAGAATTGGTGATAGTAGGATGCAGGGCAAGGTAGATGTGCCCAAATAGCAACCAGTTGCGAGTGCAGTGCAAGAAAATTTTCATCACTAAACCATATCATTTTCTTCTTTGCCTTTCAATACTCACTTCCACAAGCACAATCGTCAAATAGTGTCAGCAAACCTTATAAAATCTTGGTTGGACTTCTCCACTTCATCCAACTAACCTAAATAATAAATGCTGTGGTCTATATCATCTAACTAATATTAACTCTATGACCACATAAACATTAGTCATTATGAAGAATAGAATCCAGAGGATATCAGATTTACATAAGATTCGGTGAATATACTTCCACCCATGTTTTTGAAGACTTCTGCATTAGTGTTAGTGGTGCTGAAATTACAATGCACATATTTGGCTGTAGGTCTACTTAGCTAGTATATAAATCACCTTAAGCAAATCTCCATAATTTCAACTATTTATTCACCCTATTCTTAGGTGTAATTTGGAGCAATCCCACTAGTCCTTCAGTCCTTGAACCAAAAAGCTGGTGACTATATCATTGACAAAAAGCATACACAAAGAAACAATACCTTAAATAGATCTAGTCAATTCAAAGATACTATACTTGGGAAGATATAAAGATGTAAAATGAAGAAACCTGAGAGCTAAGTTTGGTAAACAGTGGTCGCTCCCAGCTTCAATACAAACACTTGGTAGTGATAAAGGTGGCCCATTTTTTGAAGCTTCTTCAAAAACAATTGATATGGCATCTAAATACATAACAACATCTGGTGTATGTTCTGGAGCAACATTCTGCACAGGTGAATGATAATACATAGTATCAGCATAAAAGGAAGGTTAAACCACTCACCTCTGCATATATCACGTTTTTAAAAGATCATTTCAAAAACACCATTAATAACAGTAAACTAGTACTCTCTCCTTCCACAAATAATTATCCTCTTAGAAAAAATGCACAGATTTAGGAAAGCATATCTATGCAGTCTGGAAAATTAGTTTTTTGTGTGTGTATTAAATGTATGGTAAGTGACAAGTCTTGTTGAACAACTCAAACTAGCAAGGGGGAATTATTTTTGAACAGAGAGAATTATCAATAAATAAATAAACAAAAACCAGCACAACTAAGAATAATATACCTTTATTTGAACACAGATGAGGTCATCTATATTGCAGTTAGTAGTAAAAGAGTTGATCTCCAATGGTTGAATTATTTCAATTTTCCTCCTCCATCTCCTTCCAGGTATAAAGATCCCTTCCAAACCACAATGAACAGAAAATCTTTCAGGCTCCAATGATACACCTCTATATGATAAAAGTCCTCCACTACCGCTATTTTCACTCTTGATTGCCTTACGAAATGAAAACCGCTCCCAATCCTCTGGATCAAAACCTGGTCCAGAATTAGTTGTTGGAGTAGATGGTGGTGGTAAAGTATTTGGTGGCAGTGAGGACATGGAGTAACTTCTGAAGTTTCCAAAAGAGAAAAGCTGAGAACCAGTTGATCCGGATAAAGTGACCCTTGCAGATGTACTTCGGATGCTTGCAGGAGAATTCAATTGAGGTGGAGCTATAGATCGTGCTGGAGGAGGAATAGAATTATCCAAAGGAAGCAACCACTTTAAGAGCTCACCACAAGGATCATGATTTGAAGATATTGAATTTTCCTGACCCTCAAAAGGCAAACTTCTATCCGGAGATTTCTCAAACTGAAGAATTTCCAGCACAGGATCCCTCACAAATTCAACACCAACATTTATCTGTAAAAGTACCTGCACCCTTCCAGACAATAGAATTGAAGGCACATAAGTTGGTACTTCAACCCTCAAAAAATCATCAATGGAGAGAATACTTTGTTTAGCAAAGAAAACAACCTTTTACCTATAGCCAAATGACAAAAGTACATATACTTGAAACACATGCATAATGACAAATCATTATGTTTGTATATATGTATATATTATTGTGTTTGTAGATGATTATATGTGTATGTAAATATTGAAATAAATAATAAATATAAATAAACATATGTATACACACACACAAGGGTATCTTTGGTATTAAATAAATTTAGCTATTGCTAATGAGTCCAGAATAGCTAATACCATGGGGGGCCTTGGGAATGGCTACACCCATTGCAAAGGGAATAGACAATTCCATAGAATTATATTCCATGTGATTTAAAAAATGAACCAAACAATGGAATAAATCTATTCCATGGAATGGTTATTCTATAACAAGCCTATTCCATTAACCAACTTCACCTTAGTGAGGGCAAGGACTAGATTAATAAAGAGACATCCATGAAATTCATTTAAAACATACCGCAATATCTCCATTTGGAAGGGCACAACACTTGGCAGCATTCCTTGCCACTCCTCCAGATGTGATGGCATCAAAATTGCCCCTGTCAACGGCAGCATTCAAAGGAAGCTTCTTTTTTGTATTCTTCCTAGTATCTGAAGTCATGAACTTTTCTTCAATTGCATAGGAGTCTTCCATAACCTTTCTTTTTGTCCATAGTGCCTCATCTGACCCAGCAATTCGGGCAAAGAAGTGAGAATTTTTGAATCTTTGCAACAGGGATTCAGTCTGTCTTTTGTAATCTTTCATTCTCAGAAGAGATTCACTAGCAGAAACTTCTTTCCGAGGTTCAACATTTTTCTGCATGTTATTCTTACTATTCTGATTAATATCTTCACCATCTTTTATTTCTGCTCCATCAGAAACATTACGAGCCACATTTTTGTTAATAAGTTCAGCAACTTTAAATGGTGTAATAATTTCAGTATCCTGCTTACAAGCTGACAAGCATGCTAGCATGTGAACTTGTTCACCTATAATTGACCCAAAAAAAAAAAAAAAAAGATATTCAATCACATTAGAAAGGATTCCATGCAGAAAAAAAGAAAGTTTTGACAATCTAGGGTCAAAGGGAGATAGAATAAGAATAGTTACCCGGAAAAACAAAGAAGCGGTCTAGTGAGCGCAAAGAAACTGTGTCTAGTGTCTCACTCCAGTTATCAGGAAGCTCATCTGGGAAGTCATGCCAAGCTTTAGTAATAGTTTATGCAGTAATTCAGTTTCCCCTTATTGCACAAACAATTGTTGTATTCAACTATAAGTATTAGCAAAGAATCTAAGTAAGGGGGAAAAAGAGCTGAGCATAGTAGTTCACATATAGTGCACAAAATATTGGCATAAATCTTATCAGAGTTAAAATAATAACACAGATGGTTGAACACATTATCAGACAAATCAATACAAATCCTATAGAGTTTGAAGAACTCAACAGAATCAATCACATCATGGAAAAGAAAATTAAGGGGCTAAAAGGCATCGAAACATCTGTATGGACGATATCATAAGTTAAACAGCTCTCTACATGACAAGGGCAAAGGAGTAAGACATTACTCTTTGGAATTGCTATCCATCCTTCACCTTCAGCAACCTCAATGTGGTTGCCCTTCCCAAGTGATCCAGCAATGTTGACTCCATTTTCATTCCCGTGCCCATCACCCTCTCCATCATGATCAAAGGACTTCCTCTGTAACAATGGATCTTCTGCAAACAGTCCACCTAGCGTACTAGTCAGCTTTGCTGCATAACTAGTCTCTGCCTGAATCTTTTGAGCAGGTGGCTGTTCTGCAGTTGCAGTCTGATTCGACCGCATCAAAAGAAAATTCATCGTTGCACAATATTATGCCAGCAACCTACAAATTTAACATCCAAATTCACGATTAAGATCAGAATGCAAACAAAATCTATTCCATTACAGAATAATCCGTGCAAAGTAGGTATCAGAAAATACACTGATCTAGCCTGGGACTATGGAATTCGATCACATTGGTCAACTAGAGACATACACTGGTACAAACAGTTTTATTAAATTTGTGATGACTTACACTTATTGGCGGAATGAAACTGAGGAAATGAACGGATATAGAGGAGGTGAATTTACCTTTGATATGAATATGAATCCTCGCCGGGAAACGGAGGAAGGAGGTTTTCCGGGAAGGCGAATCGGCCGGGAATATGGATCTCAGTCGCGATTCGGAAAGCATCAGTTTCGTTCGGTAACCGCCAAAGGCCAAACTGAAACCACTACTCTGCTACTTACATTCAGTTGGAATTTCCGTAATACGGAATAGTACTCGAGTGTCGTTGGTATTGAATCACGAATAACAACAAAGGTTTACCGGTGCACAATTTAAAATAAGATTCAATTTTGGCCTTGAATGTAATATGAAACTACAATTAGGGTGAAAATCCAAAAAGTGACTTTGACAAATATTTTATGAGTTTTCAGTGTTTGGATGCAATAGGAAAATTTAGTCAACGAAAAATATTTTTCGTTGACGAAAAAATGTAGCCATTTTGGTAAAAAATGACTTGTCAAAATTTAGGGGAAGTCATTTTTTTCCAAAATGTTTAAACATACAATTCTACTCATTTTTTCAGAAAAATAAACTAAACACACCAAGTTTTTCAAAATGCAACCAAACACTGGAAAGAAAAATATTTTCTTGTAAAATAACTCATTTTTCAAAAAAACATTTTCCATAACCCTTTAAATACATACAATTTCACTGGTTAGCACATATTTTTTCAATTATTTGCTCACGTTGACAAATTTTAATAAAATATTTATAGAAAAAAAGTCAAGTAACCGCCAACAACCCCCTTCTTTCATCCTTCGTTTCCAACCAGAGAAGAAGATAAACTCTTCATTTCTAGTTGGAGACTAGAGCATGTCTTCGTATCCAATTGGAGACGAAGACATGTCCTTCGTATGTGAACAAACTTTCTTCAAAAATGCTAATTTACCATACCATTTACATGAGCAGACAATCGGAAGAAATAGTCGTTAACTTGCTATCAGGTGAAATTACATATATTTAGGTTATTCACTGATCTATTTGTACTTTTTTTTTTTGTTCAGTGACCTAATTGCACTTTAAGATTAGGTTCAATGATCAATAATCGATGCCCTACCAAGATTTGAACATGTAACTCCCATTTAGGGATGTCATATCTTAACTATAATAAAGCCATATGGTCTTGTGAAAATTAAATGTTGATATTAATGGTTAAATATTAGTATTAACAACATTTAATTTTCACAAGATCATATGGTATATATATATATGAATTGCAACAATGTTGATATTAGGTTATGTATTTTTTTAATAAATAATATTATTATAATATTATCCAATATCATTCTGTGCATCGCATGGGTAGATACTAGGAGTAGACATACTCAAGATCAACGCTAGGCCGCTAGCTGCGATTAATAATAGTAACTTTTTGTATCATACTATTTTCAATTATTAAATTAAATATTGTAAATACAAAATTATAATTATTTTGTCATATACTTAATAAAAATGTAATTTTAAACAATTAAATTGTGGTTCATGTTTTCTTCTTTTGTACTTCAAATACCGTTATTAAAAATATTTTTTTTACCTATTCTAACATTACAAACAAATCTTTAATATTTAGTCCGTGCATCGCACGGGACAATACTAGTAAGTGTCATTAAAGTATAAGCTACCTAAAAAAACAAATTATTTCATATATTTCATTTTACATATTCATCAAAACAAATTATTTCATATATTTCATTTCACCAATTCATTTGACCTGCTCTATACTCATGAGAAGCTTTGAGTCAATATCTTGTGTTTATATTAGGAGATTGGTCGTACATGTACTAGCTAAGGTAGCTGCCTCTTAAACTTTGGACCATGTCCCACCCTATAATATTTATTCATTTTTTTTTAATTCACAATTTATGATTATCCTGTATTATATTCATAAATCTCAAAACTTAAAACCATAATTTATATTCAAAAAATTACAATTCTAATACTAAAAATACACAACTTAACACTAGAGTCTACCTTCCTGGTCCATGGTATAACCAAAAAAGAAAAAAAAAAAAAAAAAAAAAAAAACATCCCAGGATCAGATCTGGGCTTTATGTATTATGGGCTAAGTGGGCTGGATATCACGACCCAACAAAAGCTAAAACCCTAAACCCTAAATTATATACTCTGTTTGATGCCTCTTCGTCCAATCGTCTGCGTGTGCTCTGCAAAACCTTACCCACCCGAATAGTGAATATCACAGTAGCTCAGCAGCTATGGTTGCTAGAGGTAATAATCTTATGCATAAATCCAAATGATAAATTAGGCTGAGTTTAATTAGTTTGAAAATCTTATTCGTTTTCCGTTTCTGAAGGTCGTGGAGGCGGTGGTGGATTTAGGGGTGGGCGAGGAGATGGAGGTGGGAGAGGTGGAAGAGGAGGTCGAGGAGGGCCCGGCGGAGGAAGAGGTGGTGGGAGTGCCATGAAGCGCGGCGGCGGAAGAGGCGGCGGCGGAAGAGGTGGTGGAAGAGGTGGAGGGAGGGGACGTGGAGGAATGAAGGGTGGTAGTAAGGTTGTCGTGGAGCCTCATAGGCATGAGGGAGTGTTCATTGCTAAGGGTAAAGAAGATGCTCTTGTCACTAAGAATATGGTCCCTGGTGAATCTGTCTACAACGAGAAGAGAATTGCTGTTCAGGTAGAATACATTTTGTGATAAATTATTGAGTTATATATTTTCCTTTTGTTTTTATTTACTGAAATCTTTATTTATTTGCTTTTGCAATTGATGTTCTATTGTTCCTGGTCTTTCTACGTTGTATCAATGTTGTTTATCTACTTCATAAACAATATATCTTAAAAAATCCTTCTTATTTTGTAGTGCAATGAGCTATACAGAATTTGCACTTCTCTAATGGTTTAAGTTCTCCATATGCTCTGTTATTCTTTCTGTGGTATGCATATGCCGTTTCCTAAATATTTATCCGTGTTAATGATTATCTTGGGTACTACGGAAGCACGGAATGTCTTACTGATTTTTGTATGAAATTTTCTTGATTTATTAAGCAATGATACATTTTCTTTTCTTGAAAACCAGTGAAGTTGTTTTCTTTTAAAAGACTTTCAATTGAAACTTATATATTGTATGCTAAAATTAAGATAATGGTATTTCATCTAATTTCTCTGTCACTGCTGTGTTTGGGTTAGATTAATCACACTTAAGTATTATTTTAATATTATTTTCATCATATAGGCTTTTTGCTTCTTGTCTTTGAGTTCACATTTGGTATGAGTTATTTCATTTTGCAATAGTTTTGACCAATTTTTAAACATGCTCTTTTTAACATAGAATGAAGATGGAACCAAGGTTGAGTACAGGGTTTGGAATCCTTTCCGTTCCAAATTGGCAGCTGCTATTCTTGGAGGTGTTGATGAAATTTGGATTGTAAGTTTTGTTGTTAATGTTTTTTGGGTTTCTTTAATTTTAAACTTTGTTAATGATTTTCAAATCTTTTGACATATTAATTTATCAGAAACCAGGTGCGCGAGTTCTTTATCTTGGAGCTGCTTCAGGGACAACAGTCTCTCATGTTTCTGACCTTGTTGGCCCCGTAAGTTATAATGTGTTAAGTCATGTGATAGTTATAATAAATTTAATATTGTGTTGGATTATGTACTTATTTCATTTCTTTCTACAAATTTTGGTTATAGACTGGGGTTGTCTATGCTGTGGAGTTTTCTCACAGAAGTGGTAGAGATTTGGTTAACATGGCAAAAAAGCGTACTAATGTTATACCCATCATTGAAGATGCCAGACACCCTGCAAAATATAGGATGTTGGTTGGCATGGTTGATGTGATATTTTCTGATGTTGCTCAACCTGATCAGGTTTTTCATGACTCTCATCTTTGAAATTAGATTATTTCATCAATTTTCAGTGTTCAGTGCATGTTTACTTCCTTTACTTTTTAACAGTCACTTTTGTGCATGGTTAGCTGCATTCTCCTCGGAAAGTCTTGACCTAACATGTTCCCAATACATTTGTTATGCTAATTATTTGAATCTAAACTGTAAAATTTCCTTGCTGATTGGTTTGGTCTTATAAGGTATTTTGCTAACCCACTGAATTTACCCTTCTAAATTTAATTATTTTTAGAGATTAATTGTTATTTATATGCATGTGTATGAATGTATGTGTATACATTCATATACACATCATATGTGGAGTATATTTTGCATTAGTGGTTATTGGATAAAGCAAATGATGAGTTACTCGGATTCCCCTTCAAGACTTCTTGGGTGATGCAAAAACCGAGTTTCTGATGCGTTAATTTTTGTCATTATTGATTCCTTTTTAAGGATTTTGATTAATTTTTAATGATTCTTGTTTTTATTATTTTGTTATTACGTTCAAGCTAGTTTTTGAGGATTTTGGTTTTGTTTTCTTTTTAATTCTTTTTTAATGATTCTTGGTTTTATTGTGTTGTTAGTACATTCAACTTAATATATTGATTGATTTATAACTGCATATGTGTATCTTGTTCTGTCATCTATTTGCTTTTTGAGATTCTTCTTATCTGGTACTAGTCATGTTATTTTACCTACAATTTCTATATTAGATTTAACACGGTTTTAGCTTAATGTGCCATTCCAGTATTCCACTGGTAGATATTTCATCAACGTTTGTTCTGCTTATACGATATTGATTATACTGAATCATGAAGTAGATATTGCTGTATTAAGTTGTGTAATAAAGGATCTTTACTTTTTCCGGATGTAGATTTATTATTTTATATTTTAGGTTTTATTTAGTTGATAACTAGTTTTTATTGCTCTTTAAATTCATAAAATCTGCTAGATGGTCTGGAATTGCACATATTTCATATTGTGTTATGTTGTGTTTAGGCAAGGATTTTAGCACTGAATGCCTCCTACTTCTTGAAATCAGAAGGACACTTTGTTATTTCCATCAAGGTTCGTGTCTCCAGCAAATCTTCTTATTATGTCTAAATTGACCGATGGAGATTGATAATACTATAGGGGATGTAGATATGTCTAAGCTGCAGTTCCGTTGTCTAACAAATGATTGATTCTGTGGGTTTCGTTTATTAGGCAAACTGTATCGATTCAACTGTGCCTGCCGAAGCAGTATTTGCACAGGAGGTTAAGAAGCTACAAGCAGAGCAATTCAAGCCGAGCGAGCAGGTGACGCTTGAACCGTTTGAGAGAGACCATGCTTGTGTTGTTGGGGGTTACAGGATGCCCAAGAAGCAAAAACCCAGTGCATAGATGTG